TACGTATATTAATTTAGAATAAAATATAAATGAATAAAACTAAATATCTTTAGATTATGCGACAATTATGCGTTTGTTACAATGAAATAGTAATTGCTTCAATGTAAAATAGTAGAATATCTCTTAGACGATGTCGGGCAATTCAACTAGTATTCCTAGGTATAAAATGCACGTATGCCATTGCTTTTTTTTTTTTTTCATGTAGCATTTGTATTCAGTGGATGCCATTATAGTTAATACGAATAACAGTGTACAATCGCGTGGGATCTTGGCTAAATATAATATAAAAGAACTCGTACGCACGGGTGACGGTGAAAATTATTTTTCACGAAACAGTCTAATAATTCGAACTCAAAATAGACTGACAAGGGGGTGGTTTATTTAATGGCAATAATAATTCATCTTCGCCAACGGTTGAATATTTTTTAAATCTAAGTAGCACGAAAAACTCGCAAGAATTGATTGTATAGTTTCATATTGTAATGATAAATACCATTCACAAATGTCTAACCATATTAATATATTATTTACTGTGCAAACTGTATTGATTATTGTGCTGTTAATATTATTTATTTATTTTTTTATTATTTTTTTTTTTAATTATATTGTTCCTTAATGCATATACAGCATTTGATGGGTCAGAGTTCATGATGCTACAGTTAACTTTGATTCGAACGTGGTAAAACGAAGAAGATTAGATACGATTAGGCAGGGACGGCGCTAGGGTAGGGCAAGTGGAAAATATGTCCAGGGCCTCGCGCTTTTGAGAATATTATCAAAGCCTCGCGTTTGACTCCAATAAAGACATTTAAAAGTAAATTTGTAATACAAAAAATATAGCAAATAAATTAGCTTCAGAAATAGATATCCCGGCTATTTTTAAGCCTTATTGTATATGAAAGAAAAAAAAGATGTTTAGTTATGAACATAATGATGAACCAATTTTAAATGAGAAAAATCGTTTTGGTATTGATTATTTTCTAGTTGTTGTTAATCAATCAATAGAATCTATTAATAAACTTTTTGAACAGTTAGAATCATATTCGAATAACTTTGGATTTTTGTATCAAATAGGTAAAGTAAAAACTATGGATGAGGTAAAAAAATATTGTAAAGACTTACATTTAGTATTATTCGATGGTGATCTGAATAATTTGGAAGGACTTAACTTTTATTCAGAGCTACTTATTTTTCGTATGATGGTTGATGACAATACAACTTAAAGCTCTTAGTATTTTTAAACAGACGAATGATTCATTTCCTAACATATCTATTGCTTTAAGAATCATGTTAACGATACCAGTTATATCAGCTTGTGTCAAAAGAAGTTTTCAAAACGTACCTGCGAAATAAATTAAGCCAAGATAAACTTTTAGACCTTACACTTATATCTATTGAAAAAGAAATATCTAACAACATTGACTACCAAAATCTTTTAAAAACTTTCGCTTCAAAAAAATCGAGAAAAAAATGTTTTTAGTAATATCCAATACCAAGAGACCAAGTATTAAGTATACTGGAATACAATTTACAAATATAATATTCAAGTGTTCGTAATATTATTATTTTTATTATTATTAAATCGACAAAAGTTTTTTAAAAAACTTCTTATTAATTTTTTTTTTTAAACAATCCTTCCTATGATAAAGATTAAATAATAATTTATATAATTTATATTTATATTTAGATTTAATAATTTTAATATAGGGCCTCGTAATAGTGTATTGTCCAGGGCCTCGCAAACCCTAGCGCCGTCCTTGCGATTAGATTATCTATACTGTAAACGTACAATATATTTATTTCCCCGGAATAATCCCCACGATCAATCCTCGGACACGTTTCGCGGAAACACAATACATTATACACACATTATATTATAATATATTACCATATATTACCACGGACGAGGAGAACCTTTCGGTTGGCGCTGTAGACATTTTATGTATTTTTGCTGGCAGAGTTCATTCCAAGAATTTTTTTTTCTTCAAAAGTTATTGTTTGTGCTGCACATAATAAACGTGAATTATTCTTATTACAATTTTCGATAAACGCGTATTAGTAAAATATATGTGATTAAAATATGATAATCATATTATAATCGTTCTTATTATTATGGTATCATTTAATATTATTTATGTTCTTCGATTATTGTTTATGCTTTACGTGATAAACCCTTATTATTATTCGTATTATAATTTGCGATAAATTAGTATTATTAAAATCGATATGATCAGAACACGATTATCAGATTATTATTATTATTATTGACCTTAATTTTATTTACATTTCTAAATTAATATGCATTTATCGGCAATGTATTTTCGGGGTGTCATGTTTTCCATCACAGAACACAAGAGACCGCCGAATACAACCACCCATCCAGTGGGATATAAAAGGTTCATTGAATCGATCACTGATGCAACAGTCAGAGTAATTCGACGTGAGTATCGATCGACTCACTCATATGAGGATATAATCATAATTATTCCGACGTTGAACTTGGTGTCAAACCGTTCGATCAGTTTTCTTCCCCGTCGGTTCGTCATCATTATTTCGCCTCGTTTAATTTTTTATTTTTTGTTTGCTATATTTTATTTGTCATTTTGACGTTTGATAATTTTACATCGTTCCTTTTTATGTATATTAATTTTCATTGTGACGTGTATGACATTCTCTCGTTTATATTTATATTATTTTGTATATATTATTACTGCGACATGCAGAAGCGTAGTGAAGTCATTTTTTTAGTGGGGCAACCAAGACTGTTTGGCCGACTAACTATTAAAATAAAAAAGGCATTACATGTGCAAAATATGTTTTGATTTAAAACTTTTAATTGTACTATATATTTTTTTTTTTTTTATTATTATTATTCAAAATAACCCATGGCATTATCGGCCATTGGGAAATTATCCTGTCTAAATATTACTTAATAATTTTGATGACACGATGAATTTGATTGTTTCATTAATTTCATAAATTCTTAAGATTTGTTAAATGATGTGGCAATATGTTCAGGAAGATTGGATTTTTTCCCGTGGAGCTCGTAGTTTAGGCATTTTATTAGTATGTGTTTGATACTCAGTAGGACTCCGCAAGTCTGGCATATTGGATGTGTCATTTTTTGTATTGCCAATTACAAATAGTCTATTAATTGGTACCTCTATTATTCTAGGCATTTTCATAGGGTGTGACGCAACATTCTATTTGATATCATGCAGTTAAGCATGATATAGAAACCAACTTGATTGCCAGTTATGATAGTATTTGACTTTAATTAATAAATGGGCATCGTTTTTGATATTATTGATTGAGTGATGAGAGATAAAAATGTTGCTTATTTGGCTTTTATAGACGATCTATAGCTCTGCCTTTTCATTTTCCTTAATACTACTGTACCCTGGAATCCTAAATTTTGTTTCTTTATTATTATTTTAAATTATGAAGTTTTGTCTTATATAAAGTTTTATAAATAACTTGGAGGGTTGAATAAGTTTTGTATATAAAATCACTGAATGAATCTGAGTAGATAATTTTAATTTATATGCTATACTCATGAATTAGATGTATTGCAAACGCTTCTGCTGTAAAAATAGAATATGAATTAGGAAGCTTAAACTTATTTACGATGTTTTTCCAAATGAAAGTCATTCCTACTCTTTCTTGGCCCTTTGAAGCGTTGGTATACATTTTTTCGTCTATATTTTTGTAGTTTAATACCAGATAAATTTGTTCATATAAATAAGGTGCTAAATACATGTTTTCTAAAACGAAGAGTTCAGTATTAATTTTAATGGAAGAGAATAATTTCCAAAGTGGGTTATGTAAATGAATTGTTAGGATTATGTTAGACATTAAAAGTTGGTTTTCGTAAAGTTATGAAAATAACCGATACTCGTTTTCACCAAAAATGTGCTTTCCCCTTTTCCATTAATGCTTGTTTCCAACTAATGAGATTGGACTATGTTTCCACCAAAATAATTTCTAGATTATTGATTCAATATAGGTTAGAAAATGGTCAAATGTAAAAATATATATTAAAAAAATTACATATGGTGTAGTTTAAATGTAATAAGTATTATATAGTTATAAAGTACAGTAAATATTATAGTTTATTTAAAAAATCGTCAAATTTAAAATGATACATTATATAATTAGTTGATATATTTTTTTAAATTGTATAATATATTTTTCACAAAATTGTACCTGAAATTCAAAAGAAAATGCTGTTTTAATAAAACAAATTAATTATTGAAACGCAATATAATGTGTTACTTTTTATTTTTTGAATTTTCAATCTCATTTGGTGGAAACAGGTAATGGTGAAAAAAGGAAATTTGGTAGAAATGTAGCTCCAGCTCTTGATTAAGGGCGAGTTGTACTATATTTTCAGTGTTCTTCATTATTTCAGTTCAAAACTTTTATTTATAGAAAAATGAAATTGATTTTTGGAAAATGAACTTACAACAAATAAAACAATGTATAAAAACAAAAAAAAAAAAAAATAATAATATTGCCATTAAATGCGTTATGGCGATCGTTGCGCAAGAAACGCAAATGGCACCAATAGGGACTTGTACTCGTATTTATTTGCTTATAACTAAAACGGCGGTCTGCGACCGTCCACACACGTACATGTCGAATATAATATTTATCATTATTAATTTAGACATCTTTAGCGATAACGTTCGATTTCCGATCCGTGATATTTTTATCCCGCACATACCAACACGACCGTCGGCCAAGGGAAAAATCCGACGGTTACACTGTTCGTGTTACGGGGGCGGTTAATGCGTTAAAGTTTGACTATGGGTCGGTTTACACCGATAGCAAAACCATCGTTGTTACGTTTGGTGAACTGCTGGGCGGGAATCTGCTACGTTGACGTTTGCCAGACGGAGACGACCCACGCGGGGGCGTATAGGCCCGTCGTCTTTCGAGGCTCGCCCGGAGAAAACTTCTCGCGTGACTGATGCGCGGTGTACGATTGTGTTTTGCAGCCAGACAACGGCCCGGGTCGAGCACGATCCGCGTGCCGCTGGGCGCCGCGGTGAACGTGACGTGCGGCCCGCCGACGGCGTTCTACTGCCGCATGTCCGGGCCGTCGGGCGAGACGTCCGCGCACGCGGGCCAGTGCCGCGTGCACATCAAGTCGGTCGGATCGCATCACCTGGACACGTGGACGTGCTGGTCGGCGACCACGGAGTCCGCGGCCGAGGTGCAGTACACGGTGCGGCTGCACGCGTACCGAGGTGAGCGCCGGAGGAACATTTTTTTTATCTATCTTATTTCAGCCAAAAAATTAACTACAGTTACACGATAGCGAAAAGTAAATTGTTTCATTAAGAACACATTAACAGTAACCGATACGTATACCAACCGAGCTAAGCTCGTATCTGGTAAACGGAGTTCTGTAAATTATAGTTCTTATTGCAGTAAGATACTTGTACAATCAATGGTACTACTCGATTAGTTATTATTCATAACATATCGTTGTCGCGTGCCGTCCCGTCGCGGCTGTATATATTAAACGACTTTCATTTTTTTTTTTTTGTCATCCAATCATCTTCCCGTCCGTGATCTTAACCATTAGGGACTGCCGCAGTACCCTACGGACGATATTATTGTTTGTGGAATAGGAAAATTAACAACGACGATTTAACAACGTTCGGTAAGATTGTAGGATAAGATTGTATTGCGCGACCGGTATGTTCGATCGATCTCATCTTTCGGGCATTTCGGTGTAAAGCGTTCCTGGTTCTGCGGCACTTGTAGCCAGGGCCGTCGAGAGGGGGGGGGGCTATTTTGCCTCAGGCACAAAATTTTGATGGGCACAACATCCGTTGCACTTTTTTGGTTAACCCCATAACCACCCCCTGGGTTGCTCCAGGCACCACTAAACTTTACGACGGTCCTACTTGTAGCGCATCAGTTCTTTCGAGAACGTCAGCGATCCCGCTCGTACACGTCCCGCGTAATAACCGCGCTTGTTTTTTGTGTTTTGTTTTGTTTTTTTTTTTTTTTTGTTTCTTTGCGAATTCTTTGTGTTTTTTTCATTCCGCCACTGTACACACAGCCGTCGTCATGTCTAGAGGGCGCTGTGACGGAAATCGGCAGCGACGAGACTCCGTCCGAGGTGCGAGTGTTCTGCAACGTGCGCGACGGAGCCAACGCGGCCACCGCGGTGGTGGACGGCGACGACCGGTCTCCACGATCCGTGTACTGCAAGCTGACGTTGCCGCGGGACGCGCAGACGCTGTCGCTGGCGTACGGCAGGGGCACCGCGAGGTACGCGTACCACGGCACGTCGTCCAACGACTGCGGAGTGTCGTTTCCGAAGCCGGTGAGACGGTCCGAGGTTGGCCGGTGGAAGTGCGCGAACGCCATGTCGGACGGCCGCGTGTACGGCGGCTTCGTCACCGTCGCGCCGCCGTCCAACGACACGAAAGGTAAACGGAACACGTGCGCTTAAAATGTATGCGCTCTGGTGCGAAATCATTTTATTGCCCTCCCCCCACCCCTCAACTAGCCGATATTCTTTACGATCTCGGACCTTCCCTTTCCGCCCTAAATCAATGAGAAAAAAATTGCCCTTTGCTTGTTCCGATGAACTTATTAAAATGCATATCCTAGCGGTTAACAGGAATACAATTTCAAAGTGTTTTATTCGATTCACACATCGTACCAAATAATGTCTCGTAAGTAAATTTTGTTGAACAGTTTAATTAAAACATTTTTCTTGCCTACGCAAGTGGATAGGTACCATAGAAAACAGCAAAAACGCTAGTGCACGTTACACCTTACACCATAGATTATATAAAAGTATTCCTTGAACTAGTATTGTAATAGTTCGTTTTATACGTTATTAGTCGTATTCGTATGACATTCAACTTAAAATGATTTGATACGATCACAGTTTAAGATATACTTATATATACTATATATATATATATATTTAAGTATATCTTAAACCGTGGATACGATAGTCCATTATCAGAAAATCATTGATTGATCAAAAAATGTTATACAATACAATTGTTAATCAATGTTATATATTTTGTGATAAAAATAAAATAAACATATACAAATACGCTCAATAGCCTCCTTAAACTGATCAAATTTTTCCACTGAGGCATTCGCCCCTTTCATTTCCTCTCCCCCGAAAAGCGCCACTTGCGGTACAGTACTTAACACGACATTTTTCTCCCGTCCGACAAAGGTGTACCGCCGCTGGCCGTGACTGTGGCCAAGCCGTCCATGGTATCCAAGGGCAACTCGTTCCGGGTAGAATGCAGCGTGCACGCCGAGATCGACTATTGCTGGCTGCGGCACCCGAACGGTACCGCCGTGCCGGTGACCGTGCCGGACGGTGCGGCCGACCGGTCCAAGGGCTCCAGGTACCGGTACACGGGCGACGGGCTGTCGTTCGGCCAGTGTCACGTGACGGTCGACGAGGCGGTCGTGTCCGACACGGGCCCGTGGCTGTGCGCGCTGGGCCTGCGCAACGACCGACGTGAGATGTACAGCACGGTGAACATTACGGTCTCCGGTGAGTCCAAACACAGCTCGCGCATACAAACTTTCCAACGGTTTCCAGACCGCGGATGGAACCGGGAGCTATTCGTTTTTCAAGCTCGGTACCGCGACATTTGACGGACGTGCAATAAAATCCTTTATCCGTCGACGTCGCGGAAACGAGCACCGTACACATAAGCGTCACTAAGAGGTGTGAGGGGTATCTTTGCTACCTCAGAAATTGTTGTGGAGTAGCAATGATATATTTTTGCTACCCCGAAAAAAGTTATAGATTTTAAAAATATATTCGAAGTTTATTTTTCAAATGTGTACGAACATAGACCATCTATTATTGTGATGATTGTATCCAAAATGATATTTGTGATAAGTCCAATACGGACAATAAGACAGTTTATACACTTTTCTTTTTACGCAGATTTATGAAGAACAGTTAGCCAGTTGAGCCAGTAAGCCAGTTATCATGTTAAACATTTAAAAATTTATTTTTTAACTTTCCAAATATTAACTTTGCTACCCCAAAATGTATACTTTAGTGACGCCTATGACCGTACAGTTGACTTATACGAAGCCCGCGTGAAGGAAAATCACATCGTTCGTCATCTCTACGGTCAGGAACGTAGCTACAGTTACACAATTAGGAAGAACTGATTATCACCAACATTTTTCTTGACCGGCCGACATTTACTACCATACCCCCTCCTCCATTTATTAATTTAATTCATAATACAATTTTAGATTTTGAGCGATTAGACTTTTTTTTATCCTCTTTTCGATGTAATGTTATAATGTTGCGTACCGTCTCATATGTATGCCCGTAACGATAGTAACACCAGTAGAAACAATTATTCTATTCTGTAGTACAAAAGGTATTAAGATTGTAAATTTAAATAAACAAATAAATTAATCGATGAAATTAATGATAATTAATTATTAAATTTATTTGTTTAAAATCCTTTTTGTACCATAGAATAAAATAATTGTTTGTACTTTTGTTACTATTGTTACGGTCAATTATATTCATAGGTTTATATAAACTTTATGTATAACACATATGAATAATGAATGTACGATTAACGATGAATAACGATTGTATGATATGATAAGTTCGAACAATCTAACCATGTTATTCGACAATCGATTTGCGTCCGATGCCATAAATAATTAGTTCATATTATTTTGTATTTTTAGTGTTAACATAGAATACAGCGTTAAAGACAACGATGCAATAATAACACACATCGTAAAAGAAATTTTAAAATAGAGTTTAACTTTTTTCGATCAATTATTTAAGCCTCGGGTATTTCAACAATACTATGAGGTGGCCTGTAAATACTTTGTGTGGTAGAGCCACTCCAGACAATACCTTAGCTACGTGCCTCACTGAGTATCTTTAAATTAACTATCAAACGGTTCGTAGTGTCCACATCTAACAGCACAGCACATCTACATGTTACGAACGTTTAGCGTACGAGAGAATGGTTACTGTTCGGCCCCGCGGTTGAAATCGGTCCGAAAGAGGGCCATAAGTGCAACTAGGATTCCATTTTTTTTTTTATTCAAGGGGGGAGGAGGAAAACTCATATTCTTCATTTTTATATCACTTTAGTTTACGAATTACTTTTTAATTTGTACTCGTACAACTTATAATGTGGAGGATGGATAAATGTTCGGAGGAGCTAAACCCTCTCTAGCCCACGTCTTATTTCGTCTACGAAGAGGGCATATAGCCGGGTAAAGAGTTTGGCAACCGCTGCAGCCCTACACGGTCCCGCGGACACGCGGTGTGCACGGAGGCGACGCAGTCACGTCCGCATATTGTTCTTACTTGCTGCGCGACTCGCGTATAACGTGCATAATAACATTACTGTCAACGTTTTTTTTGCCTACACGTGGACACGCACGTCCGTGTAAAATAATTGTACAAACAATCGTATCACGTATTGTCAGCGTCGGTACGATGTTTTCACTTGACGTTGATTGCCGATCCGTAACCCGACACGTCCACGTTCCGTGTCTAATTATCATACGGATATGCAACGTGCATTAGTGTGGTCCCAGCAGAACGGGTTACTATAGTCGCACATTCCGTACATGACCTGATGGTCCGATGTTCTCCTGCGGTAGCGAACAATCGTGGACGGGACGGAGAAGGATCCAAGACTGGCAAAACAGATACGGAAACGATTGAAGACGTGCTTCAAACAAAACAAATCTATAAATTATCGAACCGTATAAAATTTAAGTACCACTCGCTCACTCACTGATTGCTACATCTCAAAAACTTACGTACGAACTTGCAATGTGAAATAATGATTGCTCTCATAGTCGTGCATAATTATCATATTATATCGGAACAATCTTTAAACGAAGTTCAATACTTCGCGGTTTTTTGAATAATTTTTACTTCGGTCATGACCGGTGGTACCCGATTGAGCACGGTCTTTGTGTTTCAATATCCGATTATACACCGAAAAAATATTATCAATGTAACGTAGTCAATTTTTTCTACAATCAGCCACCAGGCACAATTAATTACGCGTTGAAAGTTTTCACAGCGCTTACAATTCGTAATTCTAAAAGGTTATTTTAAAAAAAAAACTTCCAATTATTCGCTTTGTAGTTATGGTTTTTTTATTAGAAATCTTATTACTTAGGTTAAAACTTTAATTAAAACACATAAAGTAACCATAATGGTTTACGAGGAATATTTAAAAAATAAAAAATTTAATAATTTTTCTGAAAATATTTATTATAAAAGTAGGAAATAAGTACTCAAGAATACTACTTTCCAATCAGGATAAAACCGTTTATACATATAAAGATTTATTATAATAATTTATTTTTCTTTCATTTATCATGTTTATGAACAATTTAATTTTTATTGAAATGCAATAGAACAAAAACAACAGTATATTAAATATGAAATTTGTTTGTTTTTTTTTTTTTTTTAATGTTTATTTAATTTATAATAATTAATTTTAATGTATAAAAAAGTAATGAAAATGGCAACGTCTCTTGTAATTTTGTACCCAATCTTATAGTATTCAGATATTTTTTTTGGATTCCTATTATTTGGCTGCATCCGTGTTCAATCGGATTGCAATCGCTATGACTGTTCTGTGCGAAGCCGGATAATTCAGCTTGCGAGATTATAATTTATAAACTCTGTAATACAGCTTAATAATAAACTGTATACCTAGTCACATAGAAAAAAAAACAATAATAAATAAAAAAAAAATTATATTTTTCTAAATTAATAATCGATAATAATTGTGTATGTTTATATTTGTTAGGTAATGAAAATCATTCGATTGTCTAAAAATGTGTAAAGTACGCATAAAATAATCAGTGATGCGTTTTTAGAAAAAATCATAAAAACACGCAATAATAGGCAATAAAACAAATTAATATCTCAAATCTTAATAAGACACCACTGCATGTATTGTCTTCGCCTAAAACACATACGACATGATAAACAGTTCGTTCAACACTTCAAATTTAGTAATCTTTGCTTTAATATAAGAATAAATTGATTTTTAATAATACTCTAAGGGAAAAAAATTATATGTGTTTTGTGGATCGGTTTTTCCGATGTTTTAATTTTTAAAAGAGTTTTGAGTACTTCTCAACTGTAACATTTTTGATACTCATTACTCGATTACAAATAAAATTATCAGAAAGAACCGACCAACGAAACACATTCGATGTTCTGTCCCTAAAATTTGATTATAAGTCAATTTATTCCAACGTTAAAGCGAAGATCACTGGATTTAAACTACCGAAAGCAAATTCGCTACGTGGTACGAGTTTCAGACGGAGATAACCCAGTATGGCTGTACGCTGTCGTGGTCCTTTTTGCACATCTGAGGCGAACACTTCTTCTCTGTCCCGATCACAGGAGACGATATCCACTTTTTTTTTCACTCTTTTTATTTAACGTCACCGCACTCAACGCCATTGGCACGCCGCTGCAGCCTAGGCGCAATCAACGGTGCGCAACGTTATTAATACGGACACTTTGGGGCCGCAGGGTCGGTGATAGCGGCGCGCCAGGACGAGCTGTACGCGACCGAGGGCAGTCGGGTCACGTTGGGATGCTTCACGGTGGACAGCCAGCCGGTGGCGTACTGCCGGTTCCTCACGCCCGGCCAACTGGGCTTCGCAGTGGACGAGCGGCCGTCCGCACCCCCGCCGTCACGGTACACGTACTCCGGGCGCGGGCTCGCGGCCGGCCACTGCGGTCTGTCCATCGACCGCGTGCACGACTCCGACTACGGAAACTGGACGTGCGCCGTCAAAATGCTCGACTCGTCCGAACCCGAGGAGGTCAGCACGACCGTCGAGTTGAGGAGACCCGAAGGTATGCTTACCGTGTGCATTCGTGTGATTGTTCGGTGTTCGTACGTACGCGCGCGTGCGCGCAACGGTTCGTGCACGTTAATGTGTCTCCGAGGAAAATTAAATTAAATTTTAAATAACCGAACGATTTTACGCGTTTCGCTCGAACTCTGTTCGTCGGGTAAGTATATGCCTTAGGTATCGCTTCGTTGGATCGGTATCTCTACGCATTTTTATTAAAACAGGTGAAATCTATACGGGTGAGTGAACAGTAATTTATTTTTTTTTTTTTTTTGTAATTCTACGTAAGGTTACATATGCGCTACGAAATCATTTCAAAGAGCGCTTTTTTTTATTATTGAATTTACTTTTTCACGACGAGCTGGTTGTATCCATCCTTATATTACCTACCTTGTGCCGTATACTCGTTTCGATATGCCATCGCAAATACGTAAGCGCCCACGAAATACGCAAAAGTTTTAAAAAAAATTCTCAGGGCAAAACCATATACTGAAAAATCATGTTCGGGACTTCGGCGCATTTCGGATATTATAGGTTCGATCGTTTTGTGCGCAAGACATCGTTTTTTACTGTTAACCGATGGATGTTGCAGGCTTTTTAACGATGGTCGTAAATTACACCTCGTAATATCCTTACATCAATCACACATCATCAATAACGTTTCATCACGTTGAGGCACTATTCACACCATAAGTAACACAACGGTCCGATCACGCTACAGTCTTGGTTCGGTCAAATACTTTTGAAACTCCAATGTATACACACTATCAATAACGCTCACGTCATGGTCAAATCACGAGAAGCCAACGATCAATTAAATCGATATTTTATCGAAGCGAAACCTGTCCTGAAACATATTATCTGTGTGGACTAGAAACACATACGTGCCGGTCGGACTTGTGCTTTAGGTTTTGTAGAGTCGGGATCCCACGGCTACCGGCTCGGTACAGCAAATGCGTCATGGCGCGACTCGTATTATCTTCCCGAAAGTTGTCGGTCTTTGGTACCCGAGTAAAAGGATACGAGCCGCGCTCATGGCTCGGCTCATCAAACCGATCCAACGTGCGTTACCTACAGTGCGAATAGTGTCCAAGGGTACTAACACTCGACAGTTAAGACTCCGCTATTGTAATAAATTGCAATAATATATTTTTCTTAAGCGACAACTTTTCTAATCGTAAAAATCAACACGAATCATATTTCATTTTATCTAAATCCTAATCCTAAAAATAATTATTTTCAACTACAGGTTGAACAGAATTGATTATATATTTGTTTTGTTACCGTGTCTACCGATGAGAACAACCCTTAGCTCAAACAATGTTGCAATGTTTTACAATAAAAACACAGTAAATACCAAGCAACACGAGGTATTTTACTACCTTACATCTTCCAGAGTACTTTCTATACCTGTACACAATTCCGGTCTAAAAATAAAAAAATAAAATAAAAACACAAATAAACATATATCTACGCTTGTCGAGATAAAATCAGAATAAATAACCATCGTCTGCGTCTTGTACTTTATATGTACCCCGGGTTTTATTGAACAAATACTAAACTTATTGAATATAAATATATCACTATTAACCACGAGTTACGAGTATAGCCGGAAATTTAAGTAGCATACGCACAATACGCAAAAATCAGGAGTTCTATTCTAAAAAAAATATTGAGTTCTATTTAAAAAAAAAAAAAATTTATTCTTCACACTTTAACGTTTTTTATTTTTGTTCGTTTTAGGTACTTGCTCTTTGCAAAAGATAATATAATTTAAAAAACCAGACTTCTAGGGGGTATTGGGGCAAAATATCCAAGGACAAAATATCCTGTAATAAAATATCCAAGTAAAAATATCCAAGGTTAAAATATTCAATGGATAAAATATCCAGGGATAAAATAACCAATATATAGGATAAAATATCCAAATAAAAAAAATTATAAAAATCTATATTATTTATACCTGTATAATTTTTTGTATTTTAATACATTATTGTTCATTTTTAGATCACATTTTAGTAACATTTAACATTAATAATACTTTTTAATTCAGTTATAAAATAAAAATAATAAAAATAATATGTTGTGTTATATAATAGTTATATCTTTAGTTTTACGCAGTACGTTACAACGTAACATAGTTTTATTTTTGCTATTATTATTTTATTACTATATTATGAATTATTAAATAATGTTAATTTTGATTTAAAAATGAACGATGTATCTAAATAAAAAATAAATAAGAAAATAAAAAAATTATGTACAGATATACAAATTATTATTATTTTTTTATTTGGATATTTTATCCTATACATCGGTTATTTTATCCATTAGATATTTTAACCTTGGATGTTTTGACTTGGAAATTTTGTCCTATTGTCCTAGATTCCTTCTAAGGATCGTAATTTTCAAAAATAAATCAAAAAAAATTGTACAAAGCCTGCAGACGATTATTGTTAACAACACTACCGATTTAACCCCAAAAATATTTTTCTGAAAAATCGCGTCTACATAAAATAAGTTCATGTGTCGCATATGCTTATAATATAGACCCTATATAGTAATATATATAGAAAGTATACGGTTTGAACAATTGATTAAAATAGGTACTTTGTACATAGGTTTTACCATGATCCAGATCATCGGGATCGTGTTTTGTGGCACGTTGATATCCATCATGTCGTTGTTCTTTGCCAATCATCTCATTTCCAAACCATCGACAAAAACGAGGAAAAAAATTGAAAAGTTAGAGCTGCTCGAGGCAGCCGAAATAGGCGGCAGTCGCAGAATCGGTGCCAGGCGCGCGTACAATGGTACTCGGGTTATCAGAAGTCAACCTAGCAGGAGCCAACATGGTACTATTCCTCGGAGAGTTGATCGTGTTATATTGGACACATTTTGAATACCGTAATATCATAAAACTACGATCATTCGATTATTAATACCAACCCCACGACCAAACAAACGCGTTTCGCCATCAGAATGTCACATATAGTTTATATTGAAAATATAATTTTCTTTTGATAATAGACACAGTATTCGTAATTACATTTCTTTAATCCCTTCCAATTTATCTATTCGTTTACACAGTTACGTGACTTGAATTCTGATCAAGCTGTTGAAAACTGTAAAGAAAAAAGGAGAAGTTTACGTATAAATTCGGCTCAGTTTATGGGGATGTCCATCAATTTGACCCAAAGTTTCGCTCAAGTCCAATATTTCATAATTTACTAGAATGAATTTAAATTTTCGAGCGTACCTTATTTTTTTTTTTTATTTTTTTACATCGTTTATAGTAAATGTAAAATAATATAAATGAACAGCATATTGGATTTTATATTCAATTAAAAACAAATATTTTAAATTTTAAAATTGAATACATAAATAAGTAATATTAATAATAACATAATTAAACAAAATAAATTATTTTTAAATAATAACTTAACTAAAACTCACTAAATTTATAGTATAAATACAAAACGTTAATCTAACTAAAATAATATTCATTATTGTTGATGTTAAAAAATTTAACAACAAATCAATTATATAATATCGATATTAATCTAACATATTTTATTCATCATTCCGTTGTTTTAATGTATAATTTTCATTATATATACAAATGTACACAATATAATATATTTTAAATTACATAATAAGTATAGAAATTAATATTAAATGTATTGTTAATTAAGTTTTGAGTACGAAATTATTAAAAGTTAGCAGAGCATTTGTACAATATGTAATTTTTATTTTTGAATAAATTATAATACACAATCATTAAATACATAGTATATGGTGAAATGGAATATGAGTTTTTTATTTTTACATTAAATAATATTAATGAAAAATAAATAAGAATTCATAATAACATTACAGTAAAGTAAGATGTTCAGTAAAAAGGTACGTTCCATATCGTTCTCTTATATGTTATATTTATAATTTTATAATAGTTCATATCGACGCGACATGTGCAACTTAAGACCCACATAATTTCGTTATTGATTTTAGGTATAGAGAGCTCATAGGTTTAGAAACGACACCGTTTAGGATTTACTATCATCTAGGATAAAACAAAGAGGAGGCAACAATATTTTGCATTGAGCAGCGATAGTGATATTCAATCCGGCGTCAACAGTGTTGGCGAGAAATGATCTGATTTACGACAACTTTGCGGTTGCCACAATCAGCTTGGAAAATGGAAAGGTGTTGAACTTAATATCAGCATATTTCAAATATAGAGTTTCCACTAACAGCTTGATGCAGGAACTAAGAAAAATACTTAGAGCTTGTGGTAATAGTTTCTCCAAAAATTGGTTTAGCAAAAGAACAGATAACAGAGGTCAAGTGGTGGAAGAATTTATAGCAGCTGATAATAATAAGAGTGATAGGTTATACACCTTCTAGGGACCAAGTGGAGAAAATAACATAGGCATCACGTAAGTGACAGAAGATCAAACGAATGAAATCAAAGCATGGGTAGTAATAGAAGGAACAATAACAAGTGACCATAAGCTGATACATACAGTTTTGGTGAAGGTTAGGTTAGGTTAACCAACCATTTGATGGGTGGGTCACAATGTTGTAATCCAATTCCTGAAATAATTCTATGTTCATCATTTATAGAGTTGGTTGCAATGTATGTTTTTTCTGAATATATAAGACAGGCGGAGTCGTGAAATTTGAAATGTATCGGTATGTATTGATACAATTTCCATTTAGCAAATCTTTCTTGAATGGGTATTTTTATTTTTATTAGAATTTTTGTTTTTGAAAATTGACACTAAACTATGGGTAAGTTATAATACTCGTACAGGTTTTCCAACGGTATAGCCAGTTCGTACCCATCTTTTTTTATTGTGTTTTCTAATTTTATGATGTCATTTTACAATGTATTAGATTCTATTATTCTAGGTGGTATTTTGTGTAATTTACAGTGTAAGTGAGTACTAGTTACCATTACTATTACCTTGTATAGTGAGCCGGTCTGATCAGAACTGACTCAATACGTTTGATGATGAAGTCACCTCTTGTTGAAGTTAATTACATGTCCGTTGAAGTAAAATAAAAAAAAAACACTGTTTAAGTTATAAATGTGAATTTATTATATTACTGACACACAAAATAAGGTTAGCCTGATAAGTTAACACTTGTAAGTTTAACCGTATCGGTCTGCTCTTAAGTATGGTTACATTGTATCTAATTAAACATTGACACTACGTCCCTATTTATACGAAGATAGTTGGGCGTAGTGCGTAAAAGCAGTTTAAAACAAGGAAAAGACTCAAGGCTTTTCGTTGTTCTTTACAAACAAAAATAATATTAAACTTTTAAAAACTTATACGAAAACAACTATACCCGTGTAACTTGTTAGTTAATATAACAAAAATAATATTAGTATTTTTACTATCTAATGTACCCGTTTAATATATTAACTAATAACCCGTTTCCAAATATGAAAGTATTTTAGTAGATAGTTGTTTTTGACAACGCCTAAGGAAAATAGGTTAAAGAATAGATTACCAAGTAGTTTAAGATATGTCGTAGTGACCTCGGTTACTACACTTGTGTCTTGCAGTGTAAGGCCCTCTGCAATTAGCACATACTGGATCCTTATTCTTATTTGGACAGTTGTCCATCCTGTGTCCTTCTTTAGCGCAGTAAGCACATACTTCTGTCTCTTGCTTGCACTTTGCCGCTATGTGACCGAATTTTTGGCATTTATTTAAAATCGTTATATCATTGTACTCTGAAACCTTACAGACGGAGTAACTAAGATATATCTTTCTAATAACTATTCTTCTGAAAATATCCGGGTCAACTTCGCATACCCAATGTACAATTTTCTTGTCTTTGGGTCCAGTTCTAAACTTAGGCCTTATCTTGTTTTATTATAGCTCCTTAGACACAAGTCCGCATTTTGATCAACGATCAGTTGTGAGATTGTCTCTTCCTTCAACATCATATATTATAACTCTTGGTTTTCTAGTCTCTTATCTTTTAATTTTAAAGCCCTTTCCATATAATTCTTCCAGAGTCTTCTTTGTTGCCTCGTCTACTGGTATGACCAGTAAATTACCATGATTGAGCATTCTTGCCTCTTTTAGTTTTGGTGCTTTGTTTTTCTTTACCACTTCTGTCCATAGTAAGTCCTTTGATATCTCTTTGATATTGCTTACTATGTATTTAGTCTGAACCCCCTGTTCTTTGCATTTTTCTAGAATATCTTTTTCCCTTTCCTTCCTACTTCTAGATCTTGAACTACTCTATTCCCTCACGCTATTCCGTGATGTGGGTCTTGATGTTGTCCTGTCGGATTTGCATCTATCGGATTCTACCGTATCCGATTCTGTGTATAGTTCCCTTGTACTTTTTGTCTTCTTGCCCCTTCTTCTCCCTTTTCTGTTTATTCTGTTAATAACTTCCTCTTCCGTGTCCGTTGTTAATAATACTCCAGCCCTACTCTTACTCTTCTTCTTTTTGGCGGTGAAATCCACCTTCTTATCCGTATTATTTCTTAATAACTTTCCTGCCGTCTCTTCAAATTCTAACTACCTCCCGTGTATACATATGTTCTCATTGCAGATTTCATCTATTAAAATATTTAAAATGTCAATCCCCCTGTCTATCTCTTGTTGGGCTACCGCTGTTAACTTCTTCTTGTTTACTTGCTTTATTTTGTCAAAATACCTTAGTATCTCTCTGCCTCACTGTTGATAACTTAATGTTTTATTCGTTACCAATTTTGAGCTTAGAGCAGTGCTTCCTAAACTTTTTCGACTCACGGCACTCTTTTTGATTTAAGGTTTTTTCAGGGCGCCCTTCTCTAAGTCATAGCATGACTACTCATAAGGAAAATGTTAGACCCAATAGTATTTCATGACGGCGTGGTGCCCTTATACAAACATCACGGCGCACCGGAGCACTTTGGGAACCTATGGCTTAGAGTATTCTCCCTTAGTCTCTTCAGTGGTGGAGAGGATACTGCTATCCCCTCGTACTCTTCCGACACAATTCTTCTTGTTCTTGAACTTTCTTGAGCTTCGATTACATCCATTATAGTATCTATTTTTGGATTTGTTACGTCACTGCCTGTGCTTGAACCAGCTCCTCCTTTTAGTCTCATTACTTCTTTTTCAACGGTAACATATTATTAATGTGATTGTGATTGCGATAACGTTTTACTGTTATTACACGAACACTGTAGAAATTTATTTTTGACAATAATTGTAGATGATAATTGTTGTTATATCGCTATAGGTATAACACATATACATTATACACATTTATACTTATTGCAGATAAACCACAAAAAGTTACCTACACATGCACGATTAATAATCGTCAATTGCTCATTTGTAAGGTGATATTTGTGCGTGACGCAGTGTTTAATAAATTTAGTAGTAAAAATATTTTCAAATGGCTTCTCAATGTAAAATATCAATAAAAAGGAGAAAAAATGTTTTTTTATTAATCGTTCAAAAAATTGAAATTTTGGACAAATTAAAAAATGGTGATACTGAGCGTCACTTGCTAGAACGTACAAATAAATGAGTCTAGTATTCGAGAAATACGTAAAAATCAAGAAACAATACGATAGGTAATAAATAAATTAGTTGTAGGAATTAAAAAAAATTAAACCTAATCTCCCTTTTTACATTGATTTATGGTCTCGTTATCCGCGCAAGTTTGCTGGAACGTAACCTTTGCGGATAACGAGGGATTACTGTATTACAATATTATATTTTTTGGTTTACAATGATTCGTCTACATTATATATTATTATTATTTTTTTTTTTTATTAAAATAAATAAATATAATTTTATATGTACATATTATTTTATTAATATGTTTTTATTCACTTCTTGGTGGAATAGGTGATGATAAGGTCATAAATTTTGATTTAATTATTATTGGGTAAATTTTGTATATAATGAAATATATTAAGAGTGTAAGAATTGTTAGCTATGTTAAGTATATAATGTCACATAAGAACTCATCTACAAGCGGTTTGTTCATCTTTTTCAGGATAATCTCGTTTAAATACTTGTCTATGTTTTGGATTTGTTTAGTGATGTAAAAGTTTGGTATTTCTTTGATCCAAACTTTATTTAGTATTTCTGACATATTAGTAAAGTAAATATTATCTTTGGTTTCTTCATAATTAGTCTTTAATGACTTAATTTTTGTCTAAGATACTTTTAATATTCTATTAATTTTGAATTTATTTAGATTGTAATCGATACACTGTATCGCGTGTTCATTGGCTTCGGTAGAAACTCGGGTGTCCGGTGACGTCAGGAGTTTGAATACGGAATCGATGGCGGCTATGTCCGCGTCCTCCACAAGTAGACGGATCCCACATCCACCTCTTCGCGTGGATCCGTATATATATTTTCCGGACGCCTCATGCGGCAGGTAGAGCGTGGCTTTGAGCTCCGGTCACAGTCCGTTAGTACATTAGTCATACCATTACTACACTTTAATCTTAGCCGATAGGCAGAGAAGCGAATTGTGTATCTTGAATATTAATAAAACACAAATCGACAATCACTACATATTGGTATATGACGTTTGGGCCATTAAAAATGGAATTTTTATTAGTGTGTCTCTCCATTAAATATCGACTTGTTAGCATTAATTTACCGATTATTGACTATACATTTTAACTACAGTTGTTTATAGTTGATTAATATTGAATGAAACGTACAAACAAAACGATAATAAATATTTTAACGTTGCGAAATAATGACGATAATATAACGCTCTCTAGTAGCGAGTGATCGAATTTGGGGCAACCGTGATCATGTAATGCACAGGAATTGAAATGGATATAAGTGCTGCTCGAAGACATTTGTTTAAGTACTTTAATATTCATATCCTACGATTGTGTAAAGTGTTATTGTAATCATTTTATTATGTGGGCCGTTCCCGGTGGTACTGCAATACCGGGTCAACCCGCGGTGGAGCAGGAGCAAGCCCCAAAGTCTCCACCAAATTTAAAAAAATTAGTTTAACATTTGAGTCCTTCTATGAAGGACGTATCAGATGTTAAGCTGATAAGAACAGATACTACACTTTGATCTTAGCCGATAGGCCGAGAAGCGATACTTCGATCAAATCCTTCAACCTCTATAAAGGATAAACGTCAAACTCGAAAATTGTAGCTTTTAGTTTGAGCGATTTCTCGATATCGAAAATTCGGCGTTTTGTTTTAGAAACCGTATGCATTTGATGACCCGTAAAAGCATTTTTCAATAAAACCAAATCATTTAGTACGATTTATTAATGTACCTAGATACGAAATTGTATCGTAAAGCAATCGAAAACACAATAATTGAACTGCAACAGTGCAAAAACGCTATCTACCGTCACTAACGAGCGGCGCATGTAGTGCACGCGAGTACACGTTATCGTATAATATTGTCAAGCGTGCCACTAGGTCGCTCTATACACTGTAGTATGCAAGAATAGTATTATCGATACGTACAAATATAATACGTTGGTTTAAATTCTATAATTATCAAAACAATATAAAATTGAAGTCACTAAACGTGCAAGACACATCGAAATATTTCTGTATATTAATTTTGCAACGGAAAACAGTTTGTATAAGCATTTTTAAAATATAAACAATATAAAGCATATAAGAAAAGTGTTACGTGTTATGAACCCATTATTATTATTATTATGTATAAGATAATTATTGTAACTCTATGCATTAGTCTGTATGTGTCTTTTTTACGTGGAGATTAATGCAGAGTAAACACTTTTATTTTGCCGGACGTCTCACGTCGTCCGTCTGGGCTTGAGCAGTCGTAATTTAACAGTCAAGTTATATTCACTCTTATGTATAATCAATATTTTACTCGAACGACTCATTTAAATAAATAATTAATTTTATAACACAACATAAGCAATAATTATGTTTAATTGGGCCAAGCCAATTTATAAAAGAAAGAGGATCGAAAAATAAATGATCACCCGTGGTGTGCTTCTTCCACTACGGAAATATTTGCGTTATTTTAATTGTTGCTACTCTTATTAAAATTATTTTTTGTGTTTATATGTACGATACGATCGGCTTGTAATATAATATATAATGACAAGGCGATACGCATTGAGAATACGTTAACTACCGTTCAGCAAGGACAATAGTCGTCACAATAGTGACGTCAATAAATTCTACAGAGCATCAAATCACTCACCAACCTCTCGATTTGAATAGCATATCCTTCGAACACTTACGAACGAGCAGTCAAGGTCGATATGAATATTCAACAGAACCCCAAGTCGAAGATCGCATTTCACGAATCAAAGCAATGATCAATACGTACCATTTGAACCCTGAATAACGGGATAGTCTATGGAAGATGCGCCGAAAACTTTCAAACGATTCCTGTAATCCTATATTTGACATGTAAACATCAAGCGAGAAGTTCCAATATAAAAAAAAAAAATTCAGCACCAAAAATAATAATACACACAATTTATTTATCCTACCCCGTAGCCCTTAATTATTTGTGATATTCCTAACGAAACTAAAACAAAATTACACGGATAAAATGTATAACTCATGGTAATACAATGTATGAAAAACACCGGTACATATTTGACTGTTGAACGGTCTTTGATGCCATATACCTATTAACTAAATTAACTATTAACTATGTGCTAGACTGGTAGTGTGGATGCTCTGCTAGACTAATGGTGTGGATGTTCTAATAATTGATCATGCAAGTGATTGGCACGATTAAAGATAAAATGTATTATATCTTTAATCGTGGTGCCTGATAACTTCATCTCAGCGCTCGTGGTGAAGGCGGTCACCGTAGGGACCACTATGCCGACAATTTAGCTGACTGTGTGTGAAAACGCGTGTTCGCTGTCCTTGATTCTTTTTTCCAATGACTTCCTTTTGATATCGAAACGTGTATATTCAAAGTCGATGTTCTTGAAATGTCCGTATTACTTGTTTCGTGTGAACGGCATTGGTGGTATCGTCGTCTGTACATGAAGATTCATCGACGATTTCACCGAGTGAAACGTTATACCGTTGCCACCAAATTTTATATGATTTTATTTTATTATTTTATGAATTTCATTTTATAATTTAATATTACGGAAACTGATGTAAATTAAGATTAAAATAGCGTTAAACAAATTTGACATGAATATTACATTAATTAGTAAAAAGACCATTGTGCTGGTTGATGTCCCAAAGCACGATTGACGACGACTCTCGCGTACAGTCAGTGCGGGCCCCATGGGTTACCGTTCAAAATGCCGAACAAGCGTGTTTGAGTAGCCGACATTTCCCACACAACACATAATGCAATTCATTTATAAAATAATAGTTAAAATAACTGTGCTGTTATAACTAACCCAACAAATAGTTAAAATGTTAGAAACGTCGGTATTAAAACGTTTTACAATTTATTTATGAATTGTTAAGATGGATAATCAGTGACCAAGTTAATTCTTCGATATAAAGAGCATATATTCTTTTTTATACATATAATTCTGCTGAACGTGTGTATGTCACTGAACTCCTCTTAAACGGCTGGACCGATTTGAATGAATTTTTTTGTATGCGTTTGGGCGACGCCCTCGATGGTTTAGATTCACAAAACAGCCAGGTAGATGGCGCTGCAGTCGGTATCTAGGTTATATATCTATATATTATATAAAAATGGATTTTTGTCTGTCTTTTATGCATTCCTAAACGGCTGGATCAATTGCAATGAAATTTGGTACAGAAATATATAAGCAGTGCCACAAAAACCGGATGTGCAGAGTATGCCGCGCACACGGACCCCAAGGCTTACATACATTTGAGGGGCCCCCCAGTCCCATCCTAAAATAAACTACACCTTACAAATGCACAATTATTTAATAATATTATATTAATATTTTATAATAAAAAGAAACTTTTTTTTTAATTTAGGTAAGGATGTTATATTTTAGAGTAATATAATATTTATTTAACAGTGAGTTGATTGTTCATTGAGTATTTAAGTAGGTATACAACGTACCTACCTAAACTACTTAAATAAATTTACTACATAAATATGTAGTGAAGTATAATATACAACAGTTGTAAATATTTAATTTTATATATATAAA